TTGCATGAATCATACTCAATGAAGGCTGTGTCTGGGGAGCTACTTAACTATGCGTAACGTTAATTAAGTCCAAAGATGCTATTTGCTATTTGTTTACTAATAAACCGCCAACTAGCAAACGTTGACTACAAATATGTTTGTGTATGTCGAAGCGTGACGTCAAAATTGAATAACCGACACATGCTCAAATGCGCTCCAAGTGCCTCTGTCGCGCTCACCGGGGCAGACACCGCCTAAAAAAGATTGCAGGGAGCGTTTGTGCCTCTGCGAGTGTGTTGACAAACAATCGGCTGTCAAAAATCAAGTCAGTCTGAGTAAAGCGCCGTTGTCAGATGTTCTTTGCGGTGACGCGGTTAACTAGAGTGTGAATTAAAAGAATTTCAAATTTCTCCATAAAAGTGGTATACTAAGGTAAAACTCCGGATTGACTACTAAGTCTGTAGTATAATTTATTTTCATAGTGCCTGCGTGTAGTGAGAAATAATGCATTCGTGTGCAGTTGGAGTGTGGCTCAGGTGTTGCTAAAGCATTCATGTAGATACACAGATACACCACGACTAATATAGAATTCGATATGCCTGAGAATAGGTGTATGGGCAGTGACTCAATGAGTGGAATATGCGCTACCAAATGTTGCCACCTGAGTAGGGATTTTGTTTAAAGTTACCGTTTTAATAAATATAAAAGAGTTTGGAGCTCATTCCATTCAAGTACTTGCTTTAATTTTATTTTCTCGTTTTTTTTTTTAAATGCCATTTTGTCATAGTTTTGCAATTTCCACCTGAAACTAAGTATTTTTTTGTAACTTCTTATCCAACATGTGGCACTACTGCGATCTTACCTGTGCAACTACTCATTAATTTGCTCACGCACACATACTTATAAGCCATGGCAGTTCTCTCACCTACACAGGTGCGAACGCTGTCGAAGCAATAGTTCTTTGTACTATACATACATACCCACAGTCACTAAGTATGCCTCAACTCACTGCGCGGTCGCTGGCTTATCAGCCACCAGACTAGAAAATTTACAGAGTACAGTGCTGTGAGTGGCGTTACCTGGCTTCTACTCTTTTTTTTTCATTTGGTCTCAAAATATTCCCCCACGTTTGCTTTTACACCTGCGAGTGATAAAATTTGTTCTTATTTACAAACCAAAACAATACCTACAAAAGTGTTTTATTAAATTAAAATTATTCCTACTTACATAGATCGCTATTTTTGCGAAACACTTTAAATAACAAGCGCACCATGTCGTACGGCGCCGAGAAGGCGCTTGCCTATTTGTATCCGCTGATCATTGCCACCTCTGCCATCTGCTGCATCACATCGGGCGTTGCTTGGGCCCATTGGCGTTATGTTTTGAACGCTTGTCCGGAGACGAATTGCGGCTGCATCCTCCATGGACGCACCACCTACAACAGCTTCGAGGGTGGTCATATAGCCTATTGCCACTTTGCCACATACGGTCTCATCTTTCCTCTAGTGTTCGCCACCGTCCTGGGTATTTACCATGCATATCGCATCTGTATGGGCACAACAAAACGAAAAACGGGCACAACCACCATTCGACAGAGGTGAGTGAAAATCAATTTAAAGTGTTTGGAGAATATTTTTTGTTCATAAAAAAGTCAATTTTATATAGGGGAAACGGGTTTTTTTTCGAGCAATTAGCCGAGCAATTAACTCATTCAAAGTTTTCGATTTGCTCCCAAAGTGTAGAAAAAATAGATACATATTTTCTTCTTTCGAGGAAACTACACAAAATTTTAGCACGAAATTTAAACACAACATCAGGCATAATGCATATAACGAGTAATTCTGCATCATTTGCTACTTACATATAATATGCTAAACACTTTCGAAACGTTTTAGCGCCATTTCAATTTCATATGGCTTACTTTCATTTACGCCGCCTTGGGATCTTACATACCTTGTAACGGTTCATGTGCACCAGAACTCTACTCTCAAAAAAAAAAAAAAAAAATCACAAGATTAATTCGATATCGGACAAACCAAAACATGATAACTTGGTACACTGAGGGCCCAGTGACTGAACAGGGTACTGAGGTAGATGTAGTTGGACCGAAGCTAAGATACTCGGAACCCATGGGAAATCATATGTCAATTTTACAAGCTGAAACATACGCCATAGAAAGATCGGCAGACTTTAATATCAGTCGAAACTACCGGAATCAGAACATTGCCATCTTGACTGACAGCCAAGCGCATTTCAAGGTCCTCAAATCTCATTAGATAACATCTAAACTGGTGTTAGCCGTGCAAAAAGTCTGCTAGAATGCATTTTTAGATCTTACTATAAGCTCTTTTTTAAAAGCTGGCCCTAAAGTATATTCATTCTTGATTTAGTACAATGAGGGGATGCTTCTAAATAAACGCTTTTAGGCAAGACCTTCTCTTTGGAAGCTATATTAGAAGATCCTTCAATAGCATTGATATTCGAGTGTCTACGAAAGGATGTGTTTCCAAATCATCGGAAGTGAACTAAAGCTGCAGACTTAAATTTGTACTGAGTCATCTTTATTCTATGTATGTAAATGTTCCCCTTCTAATAGAAACTAAATCAAAAGATCTAAAGTTTTTGTTAATTTCACACAAACAAAGTTTGTTTTTTGATGGCTATGGCTAAGTGATTAGAAAAGCAAACTACCTGGGTTCGATCCCTGCCCCAAGAAGATCTAAATTAGAAACATGTTTTTCTAACAGCCTCCGTTTGGAGTAGGCGTAAAACTGTAGGTCCGTCCCTCCCCTTTGTGTGACAAACATCAAGGCGCAAGCCACAAATCTGAGGATAAGCTCGGTCAAACACTAACATATTGTGTGTGCGCCAGTTTATTATTATTAATCCTATATATACGGGACTCATGTGGTTGGGGAATTGCGGCCATCTTGAAAACCAAGGTGGTCAACGTTTTTTTCCTACTCAATGGAACCGACATTTTAAATACTTAACGGTGACATATTTGTTTTCATAGTGGTATAGCAAATTTTGGCAACAAAAGTTTTCGTAGGGCATTTTAACCCATTAACTTGTACCAGGGCGGGTCTTTCTGACCTTTATTTTGAAAAATCTAAGTTAGAGGTTTAAAATTTTTCTCAAAAATTATAAACGAAAATTTCACTAGAGGTCCCCGAATATGTAAACATAAATTCATAATATTTCACTTAGCGTAATTGAATGTATGAAGTAAAACTAGTTTGCGGTCGGTTGGTCTAAACACAAACATCGATGGGACATAAAAGCGACAGCATCGTTGGGCTCTAATTCCAGACTCCAATAGAAGCGATTAATCCACAGAAGAAGGGAGGAGATGGCGGGTTAGATTAAGATTAAGACTTAGGTTGAAATTGAGATTAATATTAAGATTAAGAATGAGACAAACATTAAGACAATAATTGCTAACGCAACACCGAAATTTATGAACTACTTTTCGAGGGCGTCTTCGCGACTAGTTTTGACTTTCGAGGCACGTGAAAAGCGCTGGAAAAGTTTCGATGTTTCGCGGTTTTCGAGCCAATTTTAAGTTTAAAGGAATCCCGCAAGAGCTTTTGTCTCTACCAAAAAATTTCGCCTTTTGATTGCCCCTTTCTCTTGTCGTGTTCGATTCTAAAATCAAGGCAACGAAAATGTTGTGTTTGTATCTTAAAGTGGCATATTCTCCGCCTTTTGAACCTTTATCAGTGGGAAGGTTGGCCTGAAAATAGGATGATTGCTTAAAACGACAATATTTAGTCTGTTCCAATAGCTGTCTGGTTTACAGGATTTAGTCAGAACTTACAGGAAGTCGTTCCTATTGACATAAAACCTGTAAGTGAGAACACATTTGAGAGAGTAACTGAGCAACTGTTCCTAGTCAGAAGTTACAGGATTTAGTCCGGAGTTTTTTTTCCTGTAAGTTCATGAAAAGTGTCAAACGATCAGCTGATTTGCATGTGCAAACAAAAACAGAAAGCTGTGAATGCAAAAAACCACTAATTATGAAATACATACGTGAGCTAGACAAGGATAAGAATACAAAAACATGCCTTTTTGCAACCACATTTTGCACCGTGGAAGGGCAACATTTTTTTAGAAAAACGAAGTCACCTTAGTTTTCTCTTTATTCTCAAAATGTTTGAAGTGAAAATTTCACGCTCGGTTGGCTATAAATCCAAACTCTGATAAAACGAAGGGCGACCGGTGGGTTGGCGGCCGTTTTTGGGCCCGATTAAGATTAAGATTTAGGTTCAGATTTTAGATTAAGGATTTAAATTCAGATTAGGATTTAGAAAATTGTTCATTATTATACAGAAAAATACTCATATTTCATACATATATACATATATGGTGAACTATACGGGTGATAGGAATCGGCACACAATTTTTTCGGATATATTTGTCTAACGGTTTTCTCTATTCAAATTTCAATTTAAAAATTTTTGTAAACTATCTTTTTTTTTGGTTTTCTAACCACTGAAAATTTTTATCGGACTATGTTAATGACTGTTGCTGCAACTATTGACGCTATTAAATTATTTCACTTCGTAAATTCGTTGGTTAATCTATTTAATTTCAGCTTCGTTGGCTGCCAATTTAAACTTTGTCAAAGGTTAATAGCCACAAAACAAACTCCCCACTTATTTACCTACATACATACAGATGTACATACACATGTACATCCGTATATGTGTGTATACGAAGAACCACTTCGTTCTGCAGATATGGGTGGAAGTAAAGGCATACAAACATACATATGTATGTATGTGTTTAATTCAATTTAAAATGATACACTTTTTAAAATTTCGCCGACGCCTTAAGTGTTGATCAACATGAATAACCGAAGCAGTATGGTAACATCAATTAAGTGTAATTTTGTATAGGTATACATACACTTGTGCGCAACTAATTGAAATAGCGACATTTTGCCCAGTTTTGGTTATTTTTCATTTCTTATGTTGCTCTAAAATTTATCTGCCATTCAAGAACATTTTTGAGAAAAGAATTTTTATTTAAAAGGCAGATTTTTATGCAGATTGAGAAAATGGCTCTTAACGCATTCAATTTTTTTTTTATAAAAGTCTAGTTCATTATAAAAAAAGCACATTTCAAACTATGTGCAAAAATTATAAAAATTCAAAAAATTTATCTGCTTTCAAACACAATTTTTGAGAACAAAATAACAAAATATAAAACTCAAAACCTAGATTTTTGTAAATTCTGAAAAGAATGTTTGAAATGTGGATTTATATGGTGCTTGTTATATATGTATGTATGTATGAGCTTGACTTTTATAAAAAAAAAAAAAAAATTATAAGCGTTTAGTAAATAAACAAAAAAATTGTTAAAGCTGGGCAAAATGTCACTAACTTAATTAAAAAGTTGCCCACAAGGGTACATACATACATACATATCACTCATTTACTAAAAGACTGTAGACACAAAAAAAAACGAAGTTTTTAAGCAAATAATGCACAATGACTCGATGCATTATGCTTCCTAGTTTCCGCGTAAGAAGACGATATGCATTAGTAGTAAAAGTATTAGGGTGGTCTGATCGATGTATTAAAAATTTGGTATCATACAAGAGTTATTTGCGAAAAAAGAATGTAAAAGCAGCCTTCGTCTTTGGTTTGGAAGCTCATATGTATACTCATACTCCGACAGGTCTTTTAAGCTTTCATAGGACACACAAAAAATATGTGCATATTTATACACCATTAGCTAAACCTAATAGGTTCATTCCTTATCTTTTTGGACTAAAATCTGAAAAGTGTCAAAATGCCAGAGCGTAAGCAAAATGCGCTCACTTAAAGAGAATAACATGAAAAGTAAAGGAACGCAAAAAACCAAATTTTTAGTCCAAAGAATGGCAACAACAAAACTAACGTCAAATAAGAACAGAAATGTATGTACAAAACACATTCACACAAGCACAAGCACAATAAACACTTGCTATATCAATTATTTTTTGCCTTCTTCCAATTTCAATTCATTTCTTTTACTTTTTAGATTATTCTCACTTTTAGCGTATTCCTTAATTTCCGTTAATTTAAATTCAGTTGAGTTTGACACTTTTCAGGATTTTGCCAGAAAAAATTCTTCTGACTAAATCTGACTACTTCGGACTGATGAGAGTCACTCTCACTGACTGTTGCTCTCTCATTTTTGCTGTCATTTCCGAGTTAAGGAACGCTTTTTGGACTAAATCTGACTACTTCGGACTTTTTCTGACTATTTCTGGGAGATAAGGAACGCTCCTAATATGTATTATTATCTACAATATTCACAGATCTGGTGACATGATTGTGGTGACTGCCGAATCAGAGTTAACACATAACGGAATATCGCCCTATTACTGGACACCCGCTGCTGTCATCTCTTGTGTCATGACCGTTTACACCTTAATCTATGCATCGATCTATACGGATGGCTTTCGCATCACTTGCAAACAGTATAGCGAATCATTGGTCAAAGACATTCAAGGAGCTGGCAATATTGTGCCTGTTATAAAGGGTCGATTGTCTTGCGGAGCAATCTTCGATTTCATGGACTACTTGGTGGAGACCATTTCCTATGAGCGGCGTAAATATGGGCGCATCAATACTGGAGCATGCCTTTACATGACACTCATATGCAGTTGGTTGACTATATTCTTTTGGATTATTGTTTGTGTAGTGAACATTGTACAAACACGTCGCACACGTTCGGAGCGAGTCTGATAATGGCTTAATTTTCTAAATGAAAATAAACCAGTCAATTATGCGCATGACATTTGAAATTCAGGAAGCAAAATATACACAAGTGCTTGCATTTGCCATTTTTACAACTAAAACGTCCACTTACGAATTATTATATAGTAAATACAACACCAAAAGTATTAAGTATTGCATACTTTAGATGAGAAATGCAGAAACTTAAATTCCACTAATTTTATTTATGACATTTATACATATATGTATGTAAGTAAATAAGTTATAATTTTTAAGACGACAACGAACGACATTTATGTTTAAGTTTAGATTTGAAATACATATGTATGTAAACAACATTTAAATTAAATCAAAAATTTATTCCATTCTTAAAAACTTAAATAAAATATTTTCAAAGATTTAATTGAGTTTGAGGCCTTTTTTTATTGAAACTATTTATGAAAAAACAATAATAGTTTATACATAAATAGATATAAATTGAAGAGATATGCAATCACCACAGTACATTTTTTATTCCCAATGACCCATTAAAATACAGGAGAGCATTTGAAGGTAAGGAGTGCATGTGGTCTCTCTCTCTATTTTGGACACATTTTATGTTATTATATTCAGCTAGGGCAGGACTAAGGATGATTTTACCTCGAATGATGGCAGTGCCTTGAGCGCTGCCTGACTGTCGCTAAGGATTAGAATTATTTCATTCCAGTAACGTCTACGTAAGTAAGTTAATTTCTGCCCACTGGTTGTTAGTGTACACCTCCGCTTGAAAGATACTCGGGAATCCCATGGTCACAATTAGCCTGTACATGCCCCTCCATGATGAAGTTGCTCCAGATCGCCTTGTTGCAGAACTCTGTTTTGAATTTGCTACCTTATTTATGTCATCCCTGGGAAAAGCGCTAGTGAGAGCTGGGGTTCCAGCCTCTCCATATTTCCAGTCGTTAGAGCCTTACCTCTTCCATAACCATCGCCTGCAAAGTTTAAGACAGTCCGCTTGCCTGCCGATTCTCAGTGATGGCTTATCGAGGAGCACTTACAACGGGGTTGACGCAATGCTTGGTTTGCAGTTGGACGACGCATCTCCGGATTGCGGTAACGCCCATCCAGCCAATCGCAGATTGAATAGGTTCTTTGTCACCACCCAGTCTGGTGGAGGGGGTCTGTTCTTGAGGACATCAGTAATTTTTTTAACGGGAGCGGTATCCGGAATGCGGGCAAAAAGCAGGGCAAAGGCCATCTTTGCTCTCTTTATAGGAACAATTTGGTGTCCTAATCGCTTGCCTAATTACTGTTGTTTCTCTTGCTAATGCTTTGTGCAGTCCTTTCCCTGCAGAGGTAGGTGATATATCCTCACAGAACGTTCTAAAGCCGACTATTTTGGCTTTCTATTTTTTTTTCTTACCTCTCACGACAACTGGAATTAAAAGCATTAATTCCAGTATGTATTGCAGGCTTTTCCTTTGGGGCGACCCTTCCTAACTTTAGCCCCTATCGTCAACCGAATAATTCTGTGGTCAGATATGGAAGGCTCTTCGCGACCCATCGGCCGGAGATCGATCTTTTCAATTCAATTTCAATTTCTTAATGGTAATGTTAAGAACTTCCTCTCTGGCCCTGGTAAGAAATGTTGGCTTAAGGCCAACATTATGGATACTAAGGTCTACACTAAATGCTATACTCAAATAAAGACTCGCCTCTAAGATTCGTTTCTGTACATCCGTACTCCAAATTGTGGGCCTTTGCATCAAAAGCCGACGACAAACGGAAGTCGCGGGAACGTCGGAAGTAATGTCGCTGTTGTCGCCTGGGAAATAGGCCGCAGCAAAGGCCATGTCTGTAGAGCTGTCACCAGCTTTTAATGTCGTCCAAACTATTACCAAATCCTGTGTTAAGAACTCTGTAACGCGGAGAAAGCCAATGTGATTTCTACGCTCTAAGCCTCTTGATCGAGAGGTCCCAAATTACCGTATTTTTCTGGGGGTTAAAGCTTCTTATACGGTCTTTGTAGGTCCACGGCTCTTGGATGAGTAAGATGCCCAGGTATTCCATGGGAAACCTGCTCGCGATGACTGTGTAAGCAGTCGGCGCTTGATGCAGGTTGACTTGGGCTACTGCTTAGTGCGGTGGTGGGATCTCTTGAGATCGTCGAGACGGAAGAGCCTAGGGTCGCTCTCGCGCTGTACGTCGAGCTCTGACCTCATATCTATTCTCTCTAGCAGCTCCAGTGTAGAAGGCACTTACTCCATTTGGCGAGTGTCGAACGGCAGGGGTATGGCTCAGTGGGAAGTGGTGGTTGTTCTGGTGCTTGTGGATCTGGCATTGGCAGAGACGCCACAGAAGGGGCAAATGTTGATTTCTGACGCAACGGCCTGGCAGTGATGAAGCAAAATCTATAGTCTAGTCTTAGGTCTGCTTTCTCTACGCTGCTGGATATCACTCGCTACGCAGATGTATGTAAGCCTTCGTTCTGCGATATGAGTAGTCCCATAGCATACTCTTCTGGATTGCTAGAGCTCCCGGGTAGAAGCACGGTAACATTGTCCAGTGGATAAATGCGGATGCGATCACCTTTAAAGTACTCGTCCAAAATGGCATGCTGAAGTTCAGTAAGCTCCTCTGAGCTCAGTGCAACAGCAGGAAAGTCACTGGGAAGCACCTCCAGGCGAATGCCTTGGAGAACATCCGAATAGCTAGGCTGCTGAGATGCTCTCCCTTATCTCTGCTCTGGGTCGATGAGCGCCTGGTATTGGGAAATGAAAGTATCGTATTGTACAATTAAAAATTGGTTCTTTGTATAAAATGAGTCCACTTTTTTATAAAAATAGGCTGTTGGATAGTTATTCGGAGCGCCCTAAATTGTTTCTCCATGCATGATAAAAACATAGT